ATCTCTTGTGTCATTGCTATGCTTCATCTTTAGTGTGTTGACCTAGATATCACCCCGTCATCCCATTCACCACTGTTTCCTCTTTCTGCCGCTTCTTTCTGGTTCCTTGGCTTCCCCTATTTAATGCATTTATTTTAAACATCTGGGAGCCACCTTTCTGCGTGGCAGAACTCAAATCACACCTTTCTGTGTGGTGAAGCTAAAAAAAATAAAATTTTGGGGAGCCACATTTGTGGTGGAACTCAAGGCAGCTTAGAATGTAAGCAGGACTTTATAAAAACAACAATTATAAAACCCTACAAAAGTCAGAGATGAAAAGGCAGAGATCCCTTTTAGTCGCCTTCCCACTCTCCAGCCAACCCACCTGTATTTCTTCCTCTGTCTTCAGCTTCTCCCCCTCCTTTCCTACCCATCATGGCCTCCCTGCGAAAAGTCTGGCTACAGCTGTGTGGCGGCCACCAGCTCAGGGCGGGTCCCAGCTGTGCAGCGGGCCAGACCCAGGGCTCTGGAGCCACCGGTGCCAGGCCAGGCCAAATCGTATTGGTGGTGAGTTCCCAGAAGTTGCTCCTGGGCACATCGTTGGCAAGGCCTCCTCCACCAGGGGACATGATGATGGGGGGGGCTTTCCGGGGCTGTTTTGGCCCCCAGTCTACTCCTGCTCCCCCTCCCACAGCTGGGCTTTCCAGAAATCAAGGCTCAGAATGTTTGGCAGAACTGCTGCGGTTGCCAGGCAACCCCACCCCAACAGCCGCAGAGTCCACCGAAGACACTGAAGAAGGCCTGATTGGCCAGAAATGTGTTAAGCCACAATAACTGTTCCTTGTGTACTCTTCATTTGTACTTGTTAACGAGGCTTTCATTGGGCCCTTGTATGTTAACTTTCCCCCAAATAAACACATGTGTTTTTCCTTATAATAAGTTTATATGAGGTTTTAACTATTGGCCCTATGGGAGTTTTTTCCAGGCCCCGAGCTACAGTGAGGCATTTTGGGGCCCCCCCAAGCCCCCTTAATTAAAAGCCCGGCCCCACAAAAAGCCATGATCTAAGAGGGTCAAGCTAACAAGCTATTATAAAAATACAAATATTATGGTGTACACATAAATAAAACATACATAAGGTTAAAAGAAATAGTCCAAATATCAGACTCTTAAAGCTTATTGCATTCAGAGCAGATAGTTATACATGTCCAATGGATGGGTAAAGCTTTTGACCCATAGACCATATGCGTTTCAGCCCCTTAGGGCCCTCCTCAGTGGTCAATATCCCTATTGTATAACAACACACATCCCGAAGTAAATGTATATATCTATATATCCCTATCCCCCCACCCCCCATACCCCCGTGCAAAAGCAGAGGGGCTCAGGGGAAAGGGAGGGGGCCTGTCTGCCCGCCTTCCCTTCCCCTGGAGAAGGGGAGGGGCGGGCAAGGAGGCTGCGGGGCACCTGCAGAACATCGGGCAGGGAACCAAGGCATGTGCAGAGTGCCTCTCTCTCCCTTCCCCAGAAAGGCATGTAAGACCCCTCGGCGGGGTGGTGGTGGTGGGGAAGGGGCCTCTGCAGGCGCCCTGGCCCAGGGGCAGTTTTGCTCTCCATGGTTCCCTCCGGGCCATCCCGCCTTCCCTGCTGGCTGCCAGGTGCCGCCTGTGGGCACTCGCTGTCCTTCGCCTCGGCCTGCCCCCCACCTGGGAGTGAGGAGGCGTCCCGGGCAGGGCCGGCTCACTCACTAGGCGGTCGCCTAGAGCGGGACGGCCCTTAGGGGCGCCAAACTGTGGCCCCATTCTCTGGGAGTTTCTTGATTATTTGTGTTTTTCATTCTTCCTGAAATGCATTTATTTTTGAAAATTGGTGGGCGCAGGGGGGGGGGCGCCAGAAGGGATCCTCACCTAGGGTGCAAAATAAGCTGGGGCCGGCCCTGGTCCCGGGGCCAGGCCCCCATGACAGCCTCCAGGCCCCTCCCCCGCGTTCTCTTTGGGCCCTCCCCCTGAACTGGGGTCCCCCCCCCCCGCGCATCATG